GAAAGAGGGTAGATTTAGATATAAATCTAAAGGAAGAAGTTTTTTACAGTGAGGATGGTGAAACACTGTAACAGTGTAACAGGTTGTTGAGAGAGGTGGTGGATGCCCCATCCCTGAAAACATTCAATGTCAGGCAGGGCGAGGCTCAGAGCAAACTGATGTAGCTGAAGATGTCCCTGCCCATGTTATGGGTGTTTGATTAGGTGCCCTGTGTACGTGTGCCATGCACAGGTATGTTCCTGCTGATGTGGTTGAAGTGGTTTAAGATGTTGCTTACCAGAGGTTGATGATATTAGGTTATTCCTTCTGTAGCTGAGAAGCAGGAACTTACACCTGGAGACCTGCTAGATGGTTTTTTGGGAGAAGTAAAGATTGGCTTGTTTGAATTGGCATTGGAAGGACTACAAGTGTTGCCATTAGGACAGTTTCTTTTCCATTGTGGAGGTTAAGGAAGTGCGTGTCTTATTGCATTGTTAGACTTTGCAGTCTGGTTTTTTTTCAGAGAATGATAATGATGGTGGGTAGATTTGTGGTTTTTTGGTTTTTCTTACTCCATATCCTCTGAAACAGCAATGAGGGTATTTTTAAATGCTGGCGTATGCAAAAAGAATCACTAGGCTTTCTTTCCAAAGAGTCTTTGAAAAGTATTATTTGCTCTTTGCTGAACTGCCTTTCAGAAGAGTTGTTTAAAAAAGTGAGAAACTTCAGCAATAGGTTTAGTTTTATTTTTCAGGGAAAGATTTAATAAGCATGGCAGCATTTCATGAGTAGGCTTTTTGTATGAAACTACATGATGTACAGATGTTACCAGATATGCAAATTAAAGTTTAGTTTTAATTTTTTATTGAGATGGTGGTAAAGAAGAACAGGAATCTTCAAAATTCTGTTTCTGTAGAGTTAGTGTAATGTCTTTTATCATTTGAGACTTGTCTTTTGTGTTTAAATCTTGTTTGTGCTAGCAAAACACATAAAATGTATTTCTTGCCTGGTCACAGAAGTGTAGAAAATCTCTGACTAGGCCGCTGTTTTAATAGTCTTTGTAAAAAAATTCTTGGGAAAATCAGAGTTACTAAATTGAGTTTTATGTATTAAATGCCCTCACCGTTAGACATTCTAAATTTATGTAAAGTAGATGCAGCTTCCTTGCAAATATTGTAAATGTAGACCAGCTAATAATAAGAAATTTTGGTTTCTAGCAGATCTTGAGTTTGTAGAGGTTTGCTTCATCTTGAAGAAGAAAAAAGGTAGTAATATTTGATACAGAAACAATGGAAGGAAAGGATGTGAGAGTACTGTCAGATAGCATTACGTTTGTTCTGGATCCTGCAGTCAGAATAGTTTTAGTTTTCTCCTCTGTCCATACAAAATTAATTTGACATTCATTTAGTTTTGCAGAAGTTCAAGAAACTCCTTTTCACGTGCATTTGATTGCAGGACTGATGTTGTGAATCAGCATGGTATCTTAGTGAAATGCTGCTGAATTGGAGAAAAAAAATTCTAGATCAACCAGGCATACGATTTGATGCGAGTTCTTAACAATTAACTAACAGTGGGGTTTTTTATTTTATTATACTGATAATCAAGCTTTAATGTAACTGATCACTTGGTCAGTTCAGTATCACTGATATACATGTTTTGGTTCTCCCCTAGAGGCTTACAGCTAATCCAGGAGGTAAACAACGTAGCAGACTGTCCATTATGGCTCAGCATCTCTGCAGTGTTGAAAACTGTTTCATAATTCCAGGTGAAGCCTTTGTTCCAAAGCCGGAGGTAGGTTTTGCTGTATTTATATGGGGGTTTTGTTAATTTGTCAGTCAAGCAATGTATCTGATTTTGAGTAAGGAACACAGTGGGCTGCTCTATTTCAGCATCTCCAGGCTATGAAGTGGAGTGATGTGAATTTCCTGTGAATGAGATGTGCTTACTCTTAAGGAGATGCTTTTTTTTTTGGTTCCTAAGAATTTGGCTTTGACCTTCAAACCTGTCTGCAAGATCAGCGTATTTCTTTGGGTGTTTGTGGAGAGGGAGATTAGGATTTAATGGCAGGACAGTTTGCTACGATTGTAGCCTTTTTAGAAAGCCTGCTCTTTTACATTTTGCATTTATGAACAGTTTGGGACTGTGCCTAGAGAATTTGATGGGTCTTTTGAAAGACTACTTTTAATTTGTCATCTTTGTCAAAGATCTCTAATTTTACCACGTTTATAAATCTTTGTTTCACCCTAGCCATCTTTAGCATATTTTACTCCCTCCTGTTTGCTATAGCACTTTGTCACCTATGTCCCACTGCCTGTATAAAAAAGTAACAATCTTTTCTACTTCTGTCTATGAGGCAGAGTGAGTAGAGAACAGTCTCTTTGTTGTCCTTTTATCTACTGCCACTGGTTTGTATTAATAGCCATTATGATTGCAGGAATCAAAAATTAATAAATTAATCTGTATTTTGGACAAGAATGGTTTTTTTTGTTTGGTTTGGCATTTTTTTGTAAAAATTTGACATTAAGTGAGATCTGTTTCCCTTGAATGCGTGTGGAAATCGTAGGATCATAGAAACATTTGGGTTGGAAGGGACCTTTCATCATCTAGTCCCATCCCTATGCAATGAGCAGGAGCATCTTCAACTAGATCAGATTTCTCAGAACTCAGTCCAATCTGGCCCTGAATGTTTCCAGTGATGGGGCAGCCACCATCTCTCTGGGCAATATGTTTCAGTGTTTTACCGCCCTCATTGTAAAAAATTTCTCCCTTATATCTAATTTAAATCAACCCTCTCTTTTGTCCTATCAAACTGCTGTTCTGTTTCAGAAATGAACTTGCAGCTTCTTAAAGTCCCTTTTTGAACTGGTTGCTTCAACTCTTCATTACATCTCCATTCCACCTTATTGCAGTCTCTCTCAAGAGATTTTCAGGTATATCTCTTGAGAACCTTTGGAAGGTTATTCTCGCTCATTTATCAAAAAATTCCAGTTTTATGGTGGTGGTTTCTCAATGGTGGATGCAATATGAGTACTAGTAGTGCTAGTGTAGTCAAAAGTTTTGTGCAACCTGTGTCTCAGAATTGGGAAGCTATAACTGATATTCTGTTTTCCTGTACTGAAAAGGCCATAGTTGACCAAGAGAGAGGTAACTTAGAAAGTTGCGACAAATTTCTTAGTATAAGCATATCCTGTAGTTAATTGGAGCTCTGTTGAATAAAAAAAAACCAGTACCACTAAAGGCAAGCATATTTTTATTTAAGGTATTTCTTTGAGTTAAAATAAGAATTGCTTGTATTGCAAAAGCAGAAAGTACAATTTTTTCAGACAGAACTGGCACCCGTTTTCACTATATTTTGTTTCCTTCAAACTCCTGTTGTAAATTGAACTTCTCAATAGATCTTCTCATAGAATCTCTTTCCTTGGAAAGCTCCTTCAGCGTGTTGTGAATGAAGGGCTCAGTGCTTAATTTTTTTTTCGGAACTATACAAAGTTCAGGTACTTCTGTATAAAGTTTCAGGAAGAAAAATTTGTAGTGCATGTAACCAATGAATACTTCCTTTTGCTCATAGAATGCAATTATTACCTTTCTCTTATGCCCTCCTGTAAAATTATGCCTTTTGATTATAATTTTACAGATGTTAATTAACATACATAAGAATGATCACACCTTAGTGTCATTTCAAAGCCCTTATTAAAGGTGGAGATTCATGTTTGTGAGAATAAGTTGTTTACCTCAATTCTCACAATGTACAAATATTATTTCAACACTACTATGAATGTTGAGACATAAAAGGCTCTTGGTTTATGGAATGGAATGGTGCTACAAGACATTGTGTCTAAGAAAAGAAAATATGGCTTTTTTGTCATAGTTAAGTCTCTGCAATACCAAGTAACTACTGATAGTAGCATTAGGAATAGTACAAAACAAGCTCCTTGACTAATACATAGGAAACTCAAAATGTCTGTAACAGTAGTAAAAAAAGCAGATGTAATGCCATTCTTTGTGTGAAGAATGAAGACTCTCTGTGAATAAAGATTCTTTACATGTTAAACTCATAAAACAGTCAACTTTCTGAAATGCTATAGCAGAAGATCTTACTTCTTCCAACATAATAAACATATAATGTTTAGGTTCCTTCATACTGTTTTAGCAAATTTGGGCTAGTAACATGGGAAATGAAAGTTGTATATAAATATGCAGAATAAATACTAGCTGGTTTTATTGAAAGACTCATCCAGCCTTATCATATTCCTAAAATTAAAGGTCTGAATCGTACCCCTTTTTATTCATCAATATGGTTGTTGCTTAGGGAAGTATTTAGATAAAATATATTGCCAGTGACCATTACAAAACAAAATCTGGGTGGTGAAAGAAAAGGTTAAAGGATTTAAGGTAATTATTCAAAACAAGGGAGTTAAGAAAATAAATAAAGGAGCTGTCTCTTTATCATTGTTGTCTGCTATATTTTACAGGAGTGGGTCTGAAACAGACCCTACAGGAATGATTAAAAGGACTTATAAAGTTTTTTTAGAAGGTCAGAACTGTAGAAGACAATGAGTGGTAGTGGTATTTAAGCTGTTAATAGCTGCTTTCAGCAAGTGTAAACCAGAATGCTTACAGATTTTTCTTGAACTGTAGTTTGGTTTACATCCTGTTTGTTACAGTTTGCAGGTGTTTTCAGAGGTATGGTTACGTTTCCTTTGTTGTATTGCTCCTCATATCTAAGATTCATTGTGCAGTGATAGATGAGTAGCAATTGGTGATTGTCCAGCAGATGTTTCTTTAACAATGATCAGTGAAACCCACAGCAGGTGGCAGTCCGGGGTGCGAGAGCTGTGTTTGGCAAGATCTGAATGGTGCTGCTGATTCTTCAGCCTGATATGCAGAGTATACAGTGCAGCTAAGGTTTGGAGCCATGGGCTTTTGTTGTGAGGGTTTTTTTGTTCCTTTTTTATTTATTTTTTTTTTTTTTGTGATAGTGGTGGTTATTTTTGTTATGAAATCTGGTTACCAAGGCAATTTACAATTGAAAATGAAAGGCAGATGTGTCTGCTTTTTAAAAACCTTTGAATTGGGCTTCTTGGACAAATAATGTTTGGGCTTCTTTTCCTTGCATCATAATGAAGATAGAGATGAAAGTGTAAAATACACCATAAAATGTTACATAATTGAAAGCCTGATTCTCTAAATAGAAAGCAGTTAGTTTTTAATCATCTTTCCTATAACAAGACATCGGTACCTTAATTGTACAGTCAGTTATGTTTGAAAATAGTTCCTTTTTCTTTAGTAAATGCTACGTGGAAAGTCAGAAAGCATGGTTTGAAAAATCAGCAAAATAAAGTACTTTTGTAGCAGACAAGTATAATTTTCTACTTCTTTCCTTTTTGTGGTTGCCCCTGTGAATTAAATACCTTGCATAAACATTACTGCAACCCAGATGCAGGAAAAGTTAAGTTCTCGGTTATACATTCTTTGAAATAATCAAACTACACTTAGCACACAAAAAAAACCTTGAGTGGATAGAATAACTATTTACACGTAGTCCTTCAGGTTGTAACCTGCATTACTCTCCTGTTCTGCGGATGGAAAATGGTGCTGCTTTGGAGGGTAAATCCATCCTCCTTGCTGCTTGTTAAAACAGGAAGTGCAGAAAATCACACCTGCGATAAGCAGAAAACCTGCTGAAATGAATCCTGTATAAACTGCTGCTCCTGGTTCATGTTTACTGCTCTCTGGAATGGTCTGGTCCAGAAAATTTGAAATAATTTCTCTTGTGTACCAGGATGTTGGTACTAATCCACAGATTCCTGCAAGAATGAAGCAGATTCCTCCAGCAAAACAAGCGTGACTTTTGCTGTCACTGTCCCCTCCCAACTTGGTGCATTTCATTCCAACTGTAGTGATGCAGATCCCAAATGCTGATAGGATACAAGACAGTACCATGGTGGTCCGTGCAGCCTGGATGTAGACGGGGAGAGAGAGAATGGAGTATTTCAGGGTACAGCTAAACATCCCAGTGCTGTACCACGTGCAGTCCATCCAAAGTCCTTGCATCTGTGTTATAGCTGTTATGATATTGGAGCCAACATCTGCATTTACCTTCCAGTTTGGTAGCAAGGTGGCCGCAATATCTCCAAAAACACCAAACAAAGCCAGAATAAAAGCAAAGAACTGCAGACTTGCTGATGCCATGATGATTATCTGCTGTCACCTTTTGTCTGCCCTTTCTCTCGAGAAAATGAGTGCCAAGCTGTAGCCCTCTGTGTAACAGGGAAAAAGGGGGGGCGGGAGGAGGAGAAGTGTGAGGGGAAAGAAAAAGAAATCAGCAAACAAAAAACACTTGCCTTTAAAATTAGAGCTATCTGAATGAATATCTGGACACGACCCTGCAGCAGCTGAGTGGCTGTACACAAGGTACTTGAACAGAAATAATGGCAAATGAACAGTGTTTTAGAATTGCTTGTAAAAAGGAGCTACTGCCCTTTCATTGCAAGCCATCAAGCAAAACTTATTTTACTGCAGTTGGTTTTGGTAATAACAGACAGATTGCAGGCTTACTAGATAAATATGCATTGTAAATGGAACATTAGGAACTTGCAGATTAGAAGTCATTGCGGTAGAAAAACACTGGTAGAAAATATATTGTATTCTTCAAGTACCTTATTTGTGCTGATGGCTGTTGTCAGCTCCTGCTGACTATTTTATAGTAATGTATACTGTTATACTCTCTCTTGTTTAAAGTGTGGTTGAAGGTAACTCTTTATTTCTGTTAATGAAATATTACCTGTTCAGCTTTTTAATAACTGTTACAAAATTTCTTTGTTTTGAAGGAGAATAAAATTGTTTCATTTTGCAGTATTTTCACAATTTAGTCACATGTGACTTTTCTAAATCAATATGTTATTTTCAGTCAGTGATTTCCATTCCTTGACTTAGAGCAGCAGTATTTAGCAAGTTGTAAGAGTGAATATGATCTGCTTCTGTCTCTAAAACGTGGGTTTTTTAATACTGGTATTAAACAACTCGTTTCTGAAAGAGCATTTTTTAATCAATCTCCTGTCTAAAATTATTTGCAAATTTGCCATGAAGTGGCAGTTCTAAAAATTCATTAAAAAAAGCTCCCTGCTATTCTTGCATAAAGAGTCCAATTTCATTTGACAGATGAGAACATTTTAGGCAGTATGATAACTGTGCACCTGGGAAGATTGAACTTCTGTGATTACGTCAGCTGGACTGTTGGATAGCAGATGAAGAACAATGGTTTGCAATGTCTGAGAGGAGGATTAGAAGGGGTGCCCTGCCTTTTGCATGGGGCTGTATAATTGGCAGGTTTTGTCTTTTATCATAAATAAAAAAAGGGCAAACCTCAGCCTGGATTATGCTAAGACATTCTATCTAAATATGAACAATAACATTAATATTGGTCTTTAGCATTAGAATTTTTTGAAAAGCCATAATAGTAGGGAATAAAATTTAAATAAGTGGAACACAAAAATATCTGTAGCATTGTACTCTTTTCAGTTAATGAAATGTAAGACAACAAGGTTTTGATTAACATGAGTTCTATCAGTCTTTAGTGCCATTACTTAACTAATTAATATATTTATCCTCTATAACTATAATTATATTTAGTATTATTCTCTATAATAGTATAATATAATCCTCTAGATCCTCTATACAACATATAATTTATGTATTTATACTTTAATTTTTATATTTTAATTATTTCAGGTAATGGTTCAAGGATGTGCTAACTCTGTCCAGCATATATATATTAAAAATGCTTATAGTTAAGGTGAGAATATTAACAGTTATTCATTTAAAAAATCTTACTTCAAAGAACTGCCTATGTCCAAATCCCTTCAGTTCAAATTGTGAAGAGGTGCTGTGGCAAATATGTATTATTTGCTGTACAGGCCCGTGGAGGAGATGGCTTAACTTCCTTTTACATAAAGAACTGACATGTCCAGGTAACTCAAAACTCATCCAAAAGCATATTCTGGAACAGCTAATTAGGGTCATGAGTCAGCCTTTTTCATTACTTCCTTTTTAAAATTTAAGTATATACAAACATGCAAGCATAAATGCAAAACACTACAAATGGTAGCCATACATTACATTGAATTGTATGAACCAAGTTAAAGGCATGATAAATTCAAGTATAAGCACTACAGTTGTAATTAAAAATACAGTCATGTTTCATTCCTGTTTGTGTAGGACTTACTGCTGGATGTGAGGTCTGAGATGTTTTCTTCACGGCAGATGTCCTGGAAAATGCAGTTTCTCTTGAATGGAACTATCCCTTCTCATATAAAACTGCATTGGCATGTATTAACAAAATTTCTTGGAATGTTTTTTTTTCTGTTCTCTACAGCAAGTGCATTACTGCTGTTTGTTCTCTCTCTTAGTTCCATCTACCCGAGAATAAAGGAGTACTTTGTTTAATGAGTTTTGTTTGAAAAACACTCAGTAAGGGAAAGCAAAGAGATTATGGAATAAAACAGACAGAGGCCCTTAGTCCTAAATACATAATGATGTCCAGGTTCTATGATGAAAAGCGTGAACAGTGAATAAACAGAGTAAAATCTTGAGAATCCAGAAACGGTAGACTTATAGATTGGGGGAGGGAATCATTTCAGTTGCACTGAGAGCCAGAGGGTTTTGTTGTTTGTCAGTTGTTGGTTTTTTCATCACAGATAATCTTATTAAAAGTTTAAATTTCCTAGAAAAGAACTGTGCAATTTATTTTAATTTGTAATTGGAACAGCAGAACATTTCTCTTCAACTACAGGCTTTACTTTTCTGTTCCTGATAGCGTTAGCCTTCCATAGGTCATCCTATAACTTGCTACCTTTGTATGAGGCTGTATAAAAGAATGAAGAAATAAAGCTGCTAATAAAGCTTATATGGTAACTGCAACACATTGGAGAAGTGGACTTGACAAGTTAGTGTGCAGAGAATTTAGGAGAAAAGTCTTTTCTCATTGCAGCAATGATACACCCTTAGGTTCTGTACCTGAATTCTGGTTTCCTGTGATTCTTTATGTGAGCCTAGTGTGAATGGAGTTACTACAAAGCTGTTCTGACCAGAAACTATTGCTGTTAGTGAGTGGCATAGTTACTTTGTGCTGGAAGTGAACCAAAAGTAAACTTGCATAGGAACAAGTTTGCCATGAAATGCGCATGTCTGGCGTTAGACCTAACATTTGTCTGTAGTAGACAGATAAAATGCTGCTGCTGAACACTTGGTTTGTGAAAGTGCTGGCTTAGAACTATCTCAGTAGGATCTCAAGCAGTCTGTTTTAATGAAGTTGTAATATGTTCTGCTTAGGTTTCAGTTCCCTATGAGTAAATTGCAGCTTGAGGAAAGGTTATGTGAGTTTGATTTTAATACAGCCCTATCACAAGATACATGTGGAATTGCCCATTATGAGACCTTTATTGTCATCAATTAGTAAAAACTCTCTCACTTGAGCTTATTCTGATTTAGAGTGTTGATTTCATTAGCAAGGCAGCAGACTTGTCTGGATTAAATTGTACTCTGTCATGTGTTCCTCCCACCCTACCAGAACATAAACCTTCATTGTGCAGATACACTAAAACAGTAAGGGGTAAATAGTTGCTGTACTATGGACAGTTCAGGATAGATCAGTTGAATGATTTTCATATTCATTAATTTATAAGATTTGAGTGCTATTTTGTAAATATTTTTAACATACTTGGCGGGGTGAAAAGAAAAGTGGTATTCATAAAATTGCCATCAAATTGACTTGTATATTTTAAGTACTCTTGTGTACTCTATTGGCTTTCATAATTCTACTCTTTATGCATATTAGAAAGGTTAGGGAAAAATAGCATGTATAATTTTAAAGGAGTGACCAATTACAAGTAAAAAGCTTTCCCCTGTATCTGTTGCTATAGCAACCAGGCAGCTTTCCTGGGGTCCAAAGAAAACAGCATCTGTAATGGAACTGAGAAGTGCTGTGTTTTGTTTCAGAAGCAGAAATTATTGCCCACTGGCCTTGAGATTGCAAATTGAGCTGTTTGGCTCTGTAGCAGTACACTGCATCTAGATTGTGGTTTTTTGTCCTTCAGAAGTTTTTGTTAAAGATGCAGCTCTGACTCCCAAAGAGCCCTCATTTCTCATGAGCGGTTCTGCAAAATTGAGGTGACTAGGAGATGCCACGGGCTCTCTGGGTATTTTCTTACCCCTAATTTTGTGGGGAAATACTTTGTTTTATTTCTTGGCAATACACAAATGCATTTGTAAATAAGTCCTTAGTACATGTGAAGTATGTACTTTCTCTGTGCAAAAAGATTAACTTTTCTTACATTTAGTGTGTACACACGTTTTTTCTATATTCCTGTGGTCTTCCTCATAGGTAACAGCAACCTGTGGCAAAGGCAGAAGCTATGAATACTTGAAAAATTAAAAATCTGCTTTGGAAAATACGTGTATGTGCATTTCACTGCAGATTCCATATGTCAAGTTTTCTTTGTCACCTGGCTTTTAAATAAGTTTTTGTGCTTCACATTTTAGTCATTTTAAGTACTTTTTCTGCTTTACTCTTAACTAGCTTTCAAAAAAAGGTGGACAAGTAGAGAAAAACCATTCAGTAACATAAACTTGAGATCATTAGTGCTAATGCTGGAAACTTGCTGTGTTTCTTTTTCTTTTTTCTCATCAGAAAATACCATTAATTGGTATTTTCTTTCCTTTCTCTAACCAGTATATTTGTTCAGCTTTGTAAGTTCTGCCTACATGAAAAACCTAATGCTGTTGGGATTTTATGATTCTATGGAAATATAGTACTTTGTGTGTTGAAGCAGTTGTACTGGGTAGGTGTACTTGACAGCTGAGCTGTTCCCACTGAAAGAATAATTTGGATGGATAGTACCTTTATGTCAGAAGAAGATGTCCACATCAGAGGTTGCTATGAGCACGTTTGGTGGAAGCAGTACGAGAAACCCTTTAAGTACTCTCGTGATCTGGGCTATCCCAATTGGTACAGAGTGTGTGCTTAGAGCAGCAGCTGTTCTTTGGCCTGTGTGTGTTTCTTATGTCCATCAGAACTAGCACATCTGCGATTTAATGTCACATAGAATCTGTTCTATGAATGTCAATATTGGCTGTCAGGCCTTTTAAAGAAATGAATGATTGTCCATCATATTAACAGACTGTTTTAATAAGAGACTGAATATCTTTTAAAATCCTGTACTTAAAAAAATTTTTAGTCATTCAGTACCAGTACTTGTACAAATTCTGCAAATTTTCAGTGGGCACTTCCACAGAATTTTTTTCCTTTTTATTGTTGAAATCTAGTTTGGAAGACGAACTTATTTATTCATTGCTGTGCAGAACTGGATTTTTAGCCCAGCTTCTGTTTTTTTAATACAGAAGTCTGAATTCAGGGCATTTCTATATAATACAGTGTCTCTGTAGTTGCATCACATATAGATATGTACATATAAAAACCATGAAATGTGCACATATAATCTCAGTCTGTTTTCAGACACAGGGAAGGTGACTATTCTGTGAGCCAAGCTGATTGTAGAACTATAAGAGAATATATACAAGCTCACCTGTGTGGAATCGTTCAAACATAATTTTGGATTAAGTGTGATACACGGTGTAAATACAGAGTTGTGTGGTCACTTATGCTGAGTGCAAACTTATTTCTACCTACCATTCCTTTAAATAGGCTAGCATTTTAAAATCTTAGTATGTTGAAAAGTAATTCCTTGGCTTACATTTTGGAAAAGCCCTAGAGCAACAGAAAACATACAGGGAATGGGTTTGATTTCTAATTATAATACCAATTTTCTCCAGCTGCCCTTCAGCCTGTATATCAAATATTGTCTAATTTGTGTATTATGTCAGAATTGTCTTGTGGAAGGATCTGAAGACAGAAGTGCTAATTACTTTCCAGATTACATGGAAGTTGCTTTAGATGGAGGAAATGCCATGGGGAAAAAAGTACCAAGTACTAATGGCATCTGAGCTAATTGGAAATATGTAGATAACTAAGACTAAAATTATGTAGGGCCTTGAAAGCTAAATCTTTATATCTTTGTATTCAATACTACAACATTGGTCACTGCACAGCTGTCTTACCTGTCACAATATTGTCTTCCTATGTTGTGCCTATTTTCTGATGTCTGGCCAGTTAACTGAGAAGTAATGTGTACCAAAGGAATATGTGTACTCAAATTTATCTTTCTTTCCATGTAGGTGGATGTGGCTGTGGTGCATTTCACTCCACTGGTGCAACCAAAGATCCAGCAGCCGTTCGAGCTAGTAGAAAAAGTGGTTCGAAGTGTTTTCCAGTTTAGAAGAAAGTACTGTTTCCGCGGACTTGAGTAAGGGTTTTTAATGAAAAATTCTCAGATAATGTTTTCATAAATGCATCAGCTACTAAATCAGTTAGCTATGTATTTGATTTTATTCCTGCCATTTTATATTTGTCATCATAGTTCATTAGAGTTTTCCATTTCAGAATGGTTTCTGAAGACAAATTCAGAGATTAATATCTTTCTGATGTAATTATGTAATAATTCCTTGGCATTTTTGTTAGTGCAGTTGAAGTTGTTAAAATTACTGGAATAAACTGGTCATCTTTTCAATAGTTTGTCCGTCTCAGAAATGAAAACAACCCAGTCCAACCACAAAAATTACAACATGATTAAGTTAAAAACCAAAAGTATCAAAATTCAGAATCAAAGATGGCAGCGTGAGGAGGTTTTGATGGAAGTTTGAAGAAAGCATCATCTGTGGCAAATTTTACTTATTTGGGGATAATGTCAAAAGGTCAAATTCTTGTTTCTGTGCTTGCCCTTTTATTGAGGTCTTACTGGCTCTTTTAAAATCCCCATGTCTTACTGAGGGAATTTACTAGGTTCTCTGATGTGAGAAACCTATAATCTCTTCACCAGAGGTCCTGTTCAAACTCGAACATAGCCATGTGTCTGACTTGGTGTGGGCAAAACCCAGCACTCAGCACTGTAGAAATTGTGACAGATGCTGTTAGGACTAGAAGGATGCTCCTGCAGCTTGGGCTAGCTGAATTTGTTGGGCATAGTTTTGGCAATGATTCAGTCTAGAATTAGAGTGGATGCCACCTTACTGAACTACAAGCCTTATATGTTACTGTTTTAAAGGTGAAGAAAGAATTTTGCCTCTAGTTTTGGTTTGTTGGTTTTTTTTTTCTTGAGGCCATGAATGCCACTGATGTCTGGATGCAGACATTGGATCTGAAATGAGTACTGATTTGCCTGTGTTAAGATTCGAGTATGCATTTGGAGGTGTTTAGAAAAAGAAGTATCCAAAGTCTAGATTGATTTGTATTTGATTTACAGGGTTGTGGTGGCGGTGGCTTTCTTTTTTTCTTTTTTTTTTGTGTGTGTGTGAAAGAATGTTTCAGTGACAGTGTAAGTAGAAGGCATGTGTAATCAGCATGTCTATGTTATGTTCAATATTTTTGCCAAAGCTGAAAAAAAATGAAACCTAACTATTGTGTAATCTCAAATTGCTAATAACTGCTTT